AAATGTTCACTTGAATGTGCATATGTAGAAGAGCACAATATTTGCTTACGACGATTGCTATTCATGTATTCATGGGACAGAGACTGATCTGTAATATTGTACTATATATCGTTTTGCCATAACCAACATACATCATACATTATGAGCATTATCCGGATCGATACGCATGATTCTGATAAGCTTTTATTCTGGCTTGATAGCTACACAATTCCATACATTATAAAAGTGTAACACGGTACTATCATCATGTATTAGATGTGACATTTTTATATCCTACACGCGCGCAGTGTATGTATGCTTATGTATATCGCAATATATTGATTGTATTGATCCATAAATATAGAACATCTTGATTCAAAGCGATGTATGATGTACGTGCTGCAGCATACTTACACCATGCACACACCTTACACACACCAAACGCACACAATACAAATGTGCATATTGTATTATGTTCATCTGTGTCGTAGTATTCCTATCACATGTATCTACATATGTAGTACATCTTGGATCGAAGAAGAGATGTATTCGCTTTTGTATTGATATACTGTGCTCGTTTGCACACAAGTTAAAACATGTAACTTTATATGGATGTTGTCCTGATATAGTTATATATGTACACATGCTCCTAGTTACTTACATGTTGATGCGTGAGTAGATGTCCTATGTATCATTACACTATGCAAAAACCGTATTCGTGAATCTTATGCGTAAAAATATATGCTCAACATTCACAATGTGTGCTTTTAGTCAAACCACACGTTAAATGACGCATATGATATCTATGAGAAACAATTATTCATGATACATGTTTAATTCGTGAATAGATTAACCTACACATAGAAATTATCTGAGTAGCGTGCATGTAAAGGTAATTACGCGCAAAATGTACACCGGTTATTCACTTTGTTGCAATGATTACGGATATGTGTGTGTTGGTTCAGAATATTTGTTGATATCTCCTAAGGCAAAATGTATCAATAGCGCATTCTTTCCCGATCAAAAACCCATACTGCAATCGTTTAACTCTGGTTTATCACATTACAATCGTTTAACTCTGGTTTATCACATTACAATCGTTTAACTCTGGTTTATTCCTTGTTCTACTCGTAGATTCCAATACATTATTTTTACGCTCGCTTTTGATCATCCATTCGGTTTCGATATCTCCGTATGTTGGTTCAGATAACAGCGTACCTGTACACGTATGCAATTCGTACGTACTTGCTATTGTGGAGCGTAACTACCTCACACTCTTCTTTGCCTGTCGACTGTACTGAGATAGATCACGGTTCGTTATCTGACTCTGTCGTCTGCAGCTCTGTATTTATCAATTTTTTCTATTGATATACACACACTGGCTTGTTGTAGGGTGAGAAAACAGATCCATTGGTGTTCTCTGCATTGCGTGACATGCTGGCCTTGCCTCTGTTGATGGTGGCTGCCATACTCAAGGAGGGGCGTCACTCCCCCAAAAACCGATACCAGTGGCTACTGTTTGGGCTGCTGGGCTTGTTCGGCATGCTGGGAAATCAATTGGGCTTCATCCTGGGGTTGTACTACACCACCCCATCCATTGCCGCCATCATGCAACCGCTCATACCTGTGGTAACGTACCTGATGAGCATCGCGTGTGGCATGGAGGCCATGCCGGTCCTAAGAGAGGTATGTTTGACTGCTTTTGTCTTACGTATCGCCCTTGCATTGAGTGTGAGATATCGATCTTAATCGCGTCATCTATGTGCTTGAAAGAGGTCGACTGCTGTAAGAAATCCTGGTATGTACTTCGCATTGATGGAGAGGAATCGATGCAGTATATAATATCCTGTCTTTGGAACTAAGCTGTATAGTGCGTCGTGTAGATGTTGTAGCGTGAGTGCACAATTAGCGCGACCGTATTCATCCCCAGTATGCAATTTAAGACCCCCCCCCCCTTCAGTGTAGTCTCCTTCTTGCAGCAGTGACGTATGTTGAGTCTTGTGCTAATCGAACATGCTGGCTTCTGTGTAACACGCTGGTAACTCTCTGTATCAGATTCGCAGTGGTTTGGACACGAGTTGTACCAGAGTTCTCACTGCTCCTTATATTGGGCGGTGATACATGTTTCATATTCTGGGTTGCTATATACTGCCCCTGATATCGCGCCGTTCGGCATGTTTCGTATCTCAAGCCACAATAAACTGTCGCTTGTCTGTATTCCAAATCGCCTGCTCGCCAATATACCACCAATGTGTTGTATTGGCCGCGCTCACAAACGCTCTGAAATAAACATACACTAGCTTGCTGTTCCACTAACAGATGTAGTGTGTCTTTATATGTCAATACCCCTCCTTGTTTATTGGTTTATATTTTGCAGTGGTCACACTAACCTCCAAACCACCTTGTGCATGCACATACCGACCCATCTCTTCATACACATACCTGAGTCGTATATCGACTTATTTCCTTCCTACGCGTCATTAACATGCTCACATATCAGACTGTTGGCCAGGCCCGTGTACTGGGTACCATCGCATCCGTGTGTGGTGCCATCGTAATCGTGCTTGCGCACCGGGCACCTTCGGCAGAGACTGTGCAGACGCAGACCTCCTTTATGCTATTTGGCCTATGCTGTCTACTAACCAACATAGCCTGCATGGCGACGTATATCATACTGCAACGCCTGCTGGTTTCTAAAGGAGCCCAGGACTCCGCCCCCGAGTCACACAGCCCCAACCTGGATGCGAGCGGGTTGCGTGCGTCAGAGGTACTATACAGTGGCTTAGACCCCATTCACCCCCATATACCGGCAGCTACAATGCAGGCAGACGGTGTCAGAGACACGCACATGGACCTGATCAGCGACAGCGTCGATGTAGCGCGGGTGCACGTGCGTCCTCGCGCGCTTAATCAATGGGCCAATCAGATGCGACTTACTTGCACAGAGTACAGTGAATACCCGGTGACGGTGGTGGCCTGGAGCTATCTCTTCGGAGGGCTGTTCATGACACTGTGCTGTGGCATGTACATTCCTCTGGGCCTGACCGACCGATTCCACTTGGCCGACAACATCTGGATCCCGCTGCTGTACGCAGTTTTTATTGCATCGACACTGTGCTACGCGCTGATTTCGTGGACACATCAGTATCTGCAGCCGTCGCTTGTGACCGCGGCATGGCCTCTACAGATACCATTTGTGGTCATCATGTCCTACATCTTCTTTGGGGATGAGCTTATGGTAGGTGATAGACTGCGTAGTACCATTGATACGGTTGGTATGGTAGTAGGTTTTGTGGCGTGATCTGATCAGTCTGTAGTGTCTACTGCCATACCAGTGGGGAAATCAATCACATCATGATCGCAACAGCTGTGTACTGCCTGAAGGCATCTTTGCTTCAGGCAATGATATTTAAAATGCCCTTCAAACTTTTTTCAATTTGGCCACGAACTTTTTATTTCATTCAGGCGTTGGATTGGGTGGGGGCAGGACTCATTGTGTCTGGTTTGATAGCAGTCACCTGGTCAGACTACACATCACACACCGAGAGTAAACCGAAACTTCGAACGCGGAGTGCTGACAAGATATACGAAGAAGTACCTGATAGGTGAGAAATAAATTATGTAGATCTGCATGCAGTCATGTTGAACAATATACCGAGCTGTTTAAATCGATATGTTTCTCTTATAATAGTCACATTTCGGTCTATAAATTTCCAAGAACATTCATATATTCATGAACTGTTCTGTGCCCTATACGCAATACAAATCATGTTTGTGTTGAATCTCGTATCCAAAATTATTTATAGTTTGAGTAAAATGGCCATATTTGTAGATAATAGTACTAATAGTTGGAATTATATTTCCGTTTGTTGTGATCGATACGCGCAATACTGCCACCGGATAGTATGTGAGCGTTAAAAGAAGCTTCCAGCCACCTTGAATTTTGCCGCCTTAATCGTAGTAGCGTCTTGGAAACTGGTCTTGTCCGGACCGTACACAGTGACAGCTTCCCCATCAAAGCTGAGTCCCGATCTGCTCGTTATCGTCACAGCAGCTTGGCATGGACCATTTTTACCCTGCACTTCGATACTTGAGGGTGTGCCATCGGTTGCAAATGTAATTGACCCTTGGATATCGCAGTAGTCTCTCGTCATTCGTTCACGGTACAAATCACCAAGATCATCCATCTTCAGCGATACAAACGGAAGGCCATCTACGAATCTCATGACATCCAACAATGCCTCTTCGGCGAACTGGCTAACCAACCCCACCTGACCAGACTTGTACGGTTGGCTGAACATATTCGCTTGATGGAACATGTACGAATCCCATCTTAGTTGGAGAAGTGGAATGGTGGCTGTTTTGGCTTCACGGATGATGATGTCGGAGCCTGACATCTTCCCCGGACAGGTAGGTCCATACGCGATCCAGCCACATGCACCCTCGTCGTTGTAGTGATATTCAAGGCAGGATTCCGTATAGCAATTCCAGGGCACGTTTGGTCCGAAACGGGGCATGATCATGCCCCATGACGTCCCGTATTGATCGATAGTTGTGAAAATGCCATGATACTTGTACTCGGCTACCGTCTCAAGCCTAGAAGTATCGCCCACGACGTTGTACATACCATTGGCAATCAAACGATCCCAGAACAACTCATTCTTAGGGTATGCCTTACGTCCATCAGCAACCTTCCCGTTGAAGTCCTTTGGCCACAGACCACTTATCTCAGGTGTGACAAGGGAGTGTGGGGAAAAATTGTTCTTCATAAGAATCGGATCATTGTTGAGAAATTGACCAGATGGTGTAGCAGGGTAGCCTGCCCACGCATCTATGTACTCCTCGGTCGCGATTCCCTCACCGCGCACTACCCTCTTATTGTAGTCAAACTCCGCATCATATCGCACCGCATCAGGGTGTGTAGTTTTCGCAGAATCAACCCAGTCCATGTTCACATGAGTCCATGTGTGTGAAACCCAAAAAAACTCAGCGGCATTCTTCTGTGTGGCTTCCAGAAGTCCTTCGGTGTCTTCGAACCCTAACATGGCAATACCAGCGCCGTTGAAGGCCGGTTCGAGCTTGAAATCGCTTCCCACGGGTAGTTTGGTGTGTAAACTCTTTCTCCACGTTGCGTAATTCTCAACATCCACGCCTTGGATACGTTGCGCAGCAGCATTTGGTGCATCTAGTGGCACAGCTTTGTGATACCAATCATCGATGTGTAAGTTGAGAGTCATACGACGATATCCTATGAATACGCCGCGTGTAACCCATTCCATCCATGCATGTCCAAGAGCTAAGTTAATGTGTGTAGATTCCGTTTCTACAGAGTAATTAATGTCAAAATCACGAGTTAATTCATTCGCAATCGCGTTGAACATAAAGTGCATTTCCTCAGTACCGGTCACTTTGTTCTTGGAGACGAAAGCAGCCAGAAAATCGTTGCTACCTACTACATTGTACTTCAAAAAAGGTTGCACTGCTTCATTATCAACGATGATCACAGCCAAGGGAGACAACTCTGTGATACTCCAGGATTCTTGGTTGTTTAGTACACCTGAGATACTGGCCGGCACACCAGTGGCGACCGTCACGTTTGGAAAACCGTTCACATTTGACTGCACAACACCTAGATCGCCTAAATCGTCTTTCAAGGGCTGTAATATAGCAATACGGGCACGTGTTCTCACAGCATATTGTCGGACTTCTGCCGGATCGACATCGCTGTCAGCGATCACAATAGAGTGCCAACTATTCTCCGCATAACTTGGCTGTGTTCCAATGTAAACGTCGTATGGTGATCCGTACGCACTCAAAATATTTTTAGGCACGATTACATTCTCGTCTGTAGACCCTAAGATAAGAGTTCGCAGTCCAAGATTACTATCACTTGCAAGCCCGGAATCTGCTAGTCTGGTGTTCCGTGATACGGGGTTCGGTATAGCTGTGCCAGCCACGCTGGCTGTCCAAACGGCGACGTATACAATTTGTGCTAACCGCATGACTTGTCTATAAATTTTTCGCGATTTTGATAGACACCTTGAACGACCATCATATTATATATGTTTTCTCGCGAGTCTTTACAATATATTAATACCCGCTAAATACTCGCAACTATAGCACTATGTATTGAGTAGTATTTTTCTTTTTTAAATATAAAAACAACAGCAAAATACATAGTATGTTGCCGAACTTTGGAAGTGAATAGTAATACTGATTTGTGTGAGTTGAATTTTGACCAAACAAGTGATTGGTCGTCTGTTTCCTGATTGAAGTCTGTATATTTACAACACCGTACATATTCACATTTCACAGTAACACACCTACACACCTAAGTCGGGCTGACACACATGACACAACATTCAACAATACCAAGATATGTTTAATTGTTTGGTTTTAAAAAAAAATTCATCAATGGCTTTTTAAAAAAAATAGATTTTTGCCTCTACTCTGGAGTAATGAGTCCGCCGACAGCATTATTGATAAATTTTATAAAGCAATTATTTTATAATAAATATTGTTGAATGTTAACACTCTTGAGTCTTGACAGTTGATGACAGTCGTGACTCGCAAGTCAATACATAATTTTTTTTTAAATAAAACGAGTTAAAGACTGAGTTTCCTTTCTCTCTCAGAGTCACAACGCGGCACGCGCGAAGCCTCCGGGAGGCCGTGAGACTTTCAGTCCGCGACGCGCGATGGCGCGAGTACTACAACTCTAAAATCTATTATGTATAGTAGAGAGCCTGTCAGAGTGTCAGAGTGTCAGAGTGTCAGAGTGTCAGAGTGTCAGAGTGTCAGAGTGTCAGAGTGTCAGAATGTCAGAATGTCAGCCTGGTCCCAGCTCACACCGTTGGGGGGGTTCGGGATAAAAGTGTAACGTAAACGCATATTTAATAACAGTTATAATGCGATCAGAGGGGTCTACCAAAGTTCTTTTATGGGACTGGTTCGTATCGTGTGAACATGATACACACTAAAATGTTTGTCCCGCAAGTTGCACCTATGGGCTTACAAAGGACGGCATATGGAATAAAAACTGATCGGAGCGTATATATATTCGATTTATAAACGTTTTAACGGAACCCGGTTTGAGATGTGTCCTGTGAGTCTGTGACTGTGAGGCTATAACCTGGTTACCTGAGTCAGGCTTAGAGCCTGAGCCCCGAGGTATTTTAGAGAATTCATTTCTAAAATACATTGGACCAAAACTGATTCGATTTTATTACAAATTTAAAAAAAAACAAACTAAAAGTTATTTCTTTTCTCAAAATACCTCGGGCGACACCGTAGTTTATTTAGGTTATTTCTTAATTATTTTTTAAACTGTCATTTACTAATCACTAATCAGTGATCTGAAAGTTAAAAAAGTTGAAACATGATTTGTTTGGACTTTTCACTTTTGTAGGGTAATTTATTTTTAACTTCGTGTCAGTAATTCAGTACATCTGCACTATGCTGTGCGTGTTTTTCTTTGCAACGAAGATAAATATCAGCACTATCATGAATCATGATTCAAATGATCCACAAGCAACTAGCAATTCAGATTTCAGCATCCTGCACTATGCTGTGCATGCTTTTTCTTTACAACGAAGATAAATATCAGCACTATCATGAATCATGATTCAAATGATCCACAAGCAACTAGCAATTCAGATTTCAGCATCCACATGACGCAAATGATTCAGTATTCAGTTATTTAAATAAATAGTCAAAAGTCCCACCCCCCCCTGGTTTTCGGACCCCACTGGTGGCTAAACCAAAGTATCACATCCGAACCGCCTAACTGTCCATATTTCGATTTTTTTCTACTACTAGCAACTGGAAAATAAACGCCGTTTATACTGCTTCGAAAATCACAGTTTTACACTCTAGAAGTAGGGCTCATTAAGCTAAGCGTAAACACGTTTTCAAAACATTGCGTTAACGGTGAACGGGATACGTTTTCGTACGTTACATGACCACCCAACTATATCTGCCAAAATATGAGCGATTGCCTGATATATAAATTAAACTTTTACATTGTTGGATACGGACCAATGTATATTTGTCATTTGTTGATCTATTTTAGAACAGTTTCTGGATTTTTTTTTTTTAAGTTGTCGTTTTGGAAACACCAAAATGAACACCGTATGTGTAAAAACTTTTATGATTGTGTGCGTTAGCATAAAACGTAGTACATTTTCAGGTACATACATTGTCCGTTATGAGGCCTGGACAAGTACATATCCTTATTTATGTACGCTCATTCCATCTGCTTCCATCTGCTAATATCTAGATCTAGCAATGAGTACAACCTATGTCGTAATGAAGCTTTTTTTTAATTATGGTTGGAATGTAATAACAACTTTTTGTTGCAATAATGTCTGGTGAGAAAGGCCACCCCCCCCCAAGTCCCATGCCCAGGGCGGAAGTGACAGAACAGGCCTGCATCATTGTATGTAAAATTAAATACATACATTACAGAGGTATTATTTTATTTCATTTTATTTGTAAAAAATCAAAATAATAATACACTACATACTGTACTCACTGACTAACTATTGACTGTCTACAATTCTAAATGCAGAGATATTTACATTCGATAACACCCCCACCAGCAGACTCCAGAGTCCGGAGACTCCCGAGAGTGTCCAGACTCCAGGCTCCATACGCAGAATATCATAATGTATGATTTTTTATTTGATTTTTAAAACAATATAAATTTTCACACCCGCAACCGTCAAGTGTCCAGTGCCAACTTACTCAAATGTCAGGTGTCGGCCTTAGGTGCTGACAGCCTGACAAATGTCCGTGTTCATTGGTGAGTCTGTACTCTGGTCACTGATGTCACTGACTCACTGTGCCAATCTGTCTGGCTGCTATAAATAAATCGTGCCAGACTGTCTGACTGCTAAAGTATTTTATTATTCCCTTTTTTTTTAATACAAAATATGCAAAACAAGACTGTGTCGTAGGCAAAACAGTGGTCTTGAAGATCTCGATCTCGCTCTATCTCGCGCTACACATAAATACACGCCGCTCAGTGGCTCAACAATGCCTTACACTATGTCCCACGTCCCACCGACACAACACAGTGCCACGCACACATGACACAACGTCATATAAACCCGCTTATGTTGAGTCAAAAATATGGGAGCGCGTGGTTACACACATAATATTCAACCTATAAGGGACTGCTAGATGAACCGTACGACAAGGATCTATACATATATGTATATTTCGGTTGATTCCTCAGTACTGGATATACATGCTTGTATGCGCTTATGAATATTATT